CCACAATCACCCCCCCCCCCCCCCCCCCCAAACAAACCACTACTGTCCATGGGGTGCCTTTCTGGTGGTCCTCTGCAGAGAATGTACTCGGTTTGTCATGGCTGAGGTGGGCAGTTGATAATATTGGAAAGGGATTGCATTTATTTTGACTGTTTTAAAACAAAAATGTTGAGAGTCAGAGACGAGCCCAGTGACTTGATTCTGGGTAGCAGGTGGCAACAAATACTAGACGTTGTGCAAGTTTCCACTCTGTTGCCATTGGCTGTGTTCACCAGGCTTTGATGATCCCATAAAGCCTGTCTTGTACAGGAGATATTTAGCGTGTCTTCCCCACCGCAATTAGTACTTAGGCAGCGCGTACGTGTTTTAAAGGTAAATATTTATATTTTGCAGCATTCTATATAATTGCCTATCATTATATAATCTGCGCTGTAGGAAAGCATGTGCGCTCTCTTAGCACCACTGTTTTCTCTCTGCACGTTCCTCTCCCCTCTGCTACCAGCAGCGAGGGAGGGAAAAACACGATTTCTAGAAACAATGACATGACACTGCCTTGAAGCAACGCAGGCTGGAAACTGCTCTGCTTTGGGATCTGATTCAGGGTTGGATTGAATCTCCCCCTCTCCTGACTCTTGCAGATGCTGCCGGTTTGCAACGGGCTCTTCTGCACGGCAGTCAGGCGGAGGATTTTACCGTTCAACTTGTAAGCAGTGGGGGTGCAAAAAGGCTCCAGAACTGGGGCCCATAGCCTTAAATGCTGAGTAAATGAAATGCCCTCTGCTTATGGGAAACATTTTGGACAAACAGACGTATTGCACAAGCGCAACCCCCCTCCCGCATTCCTATCTGCTGGGGGCTGGGGCAGAGCCTGGCTAAACCACCCTCGCCCCTCTCAAAATCTGCTATTGTGTCTGAAATCTTGTGGGGAAATGATGAAGAATCTGTGATAAGAGCAAGGGCTTTTTTTTTTAAGTATCTTGTGGGGGAAAGGTTATCTGATCTTGTTCTTTTGTCTCTGGAAAGCCTTTAAAACAATGCGCCATCTGCTCCTGTTTGGTACAAGCAAGCCGAGGTCTCTTCTGCCAGAAGCTGGCTTGCTATTGTTTGCTGCTTAACCCTTTCGGCAGCAAACTTTCCCTTGTCTCTATGCAAAATACGTGGGTCTCCTTATTTTGTGGCCTCCCACCAGCCAGCCTCCCAGGATTCCCCAGTTCCACTCCCAACAAAGCCACTGGCCTTAGGGAACGGGTTTAAAAAAAACCTCTTTTGCTGCTCTTTCCCCAACTGTCTACCTGGGGCGATTAGCATGCGACATGGTAATGGCAAGCATCGGTCCCAGACCCTTAAAAGGGACCGCAGAAAAGATGAGTGGAGAAGTGTCCCGGCCCATCTACATCTCTTCCAAAAGGATGTGCGTGTCAAAAAATTAGACCTGCCCAGCAAATGGAAGAGGACTTATCAAATGGTTGAAATTTCAGCAATGATTTAGCTGTTTGGATGCCAGAACTCGTCAAGTCAGACAAGGGCAGGTGCCAATTGGTATCGAAAGCCCTAAGATGGTCTTCTAGTGCCGGACTGCATGGAGCATATTAGATGCATCAATTGTATTAAGCGACTAGTCTATTTTTCTGAATTCTTGGTTGAGCATCATCTTACCCAAGTCCTTCTCCAAGCTTTCCTGCGTCTCGATCCTGCCGGCTGCAGAAGCGCGGGGTCCCGACCGGCGACTGGTTGAAGCTCCCAGAGTTCGTTTAGGAAGTAACGTAGCGGCTTCCTCTTTCCAAATCTCGGATGCGCAGCGATTCCTTTGCTCTGCTGGTGCTCTCCGTGGACTGAATTAAGCCAACACACGCACACATATATAGAGAGACACTTACTGGAGGGCAGATGAGACAAAAACTGCATTGTGTTGGCATGTAGCAGGGTTATATCTGGACCTTGGGATGGCCTGGGAGTCTGGGTTCCCTTGCCTTAGCTCAGGTTACACCCAGGGGGATGTTTCTGCCCCTGCGTCGCCCTGCCGTCCAAGGCAAGCCTGCTTCTGTACTCGCTGGTGGGTGCTGGCATTGCTAACACCTGCTCCCGCATCTGACATATAGCACTGTGCTCCTGTCGTACCACTCCTCTGAGGGTCTCGGAGAAGCTTGGGAACATGAACAGGTTAACCCTGGGATGTGAGGAAGCCTTTGGTAGCTTTTTTTTATTTGAAAAGCCTGCCCATCCCCATCAGGGCTCCTTTGTGCTGGAGTTTGGTCAGACAACCGCCGAACCAAAAGATGATCCTTGGCCCACAAAAGTTTGTAGTCTTGGTATTTATGGCCATTTTACAGGCAGGGAAACTGAGGCCGTGGGGGGAGAAAAACCCACATGTTCTCATCTCGGTGGCTTGCTTTTCCTTCTTAGCCAGATGCTTTTTTTGCAATAGCAAAAGAGTACTAATTGAAGAGTGGGATGGAGAAATGGACCGGGGTCAAGGAAGGGACTTGAGAACATGGTCACCTTTTGGCAGAAACTCAGGGAATGGGATCGTAGGGTCTATCCCCACGGTCCATTTACCTGAGTGACCCCAAAGAGTCTGCACTTCCCCACTCAGAAGCAGCCCTACGGGGTTAACGAAAGGCAGCCTCCTGTCTCCCCCGGATGAACGAGCACCATGTTAAGAACAACGATTATGAAAGCAGTGTAGACTGGTGAGGAGGCTGTGGCCTCTCCTGGAGAGATGTCAGAAATACAGGTTAAGAGGCACTGGAAGGGACAACTTAGAGCCTGATAAACAGGGAAGGTGATATGGGGTCCTTGAAAGTGCTTGCAGCATGGGAGAAAAGGGTCATAGCATGCCTAACGCAGGGTCCTGGGGCCAGTGCTGAGAGGAGGGGGTGGACCTGGCTCTTCTAGCTCCCCTTCTCCTGGGGTGAAGCGTCCACAAACTTGTGTACCCTGGGATGGAGAGACCTCCAAGACTGGGCATGCAGCTCTCTGGGCTTTGGGCTGCAGACTATGCACTGATGTAGCCCCTGCAAGGGGTGAAGCCCCTAAACTACACAGGCAAAAATGTCCTGAGTGACAAAAGGCCAGCTGACCTGGCCATAAGGCTGTGGCGTGAGCCTGCTGGTGCACACCTTTTTAAGTCACATTTCCTGTTTGTGTCTGTTAACAAGCACTCTGAGCTCGAATATAGGTGGGTAGCGCATGTTGCAAGTGCATCCATGCACAGCTGGCCTAATAAAAGATATTACCGTAAGAAATCCTTGCCCTTTCTATGGGTGAAGTCACACGTAGTCATAAACAGCCTGTCGGACTCTACAACATTGGATTAACCCTTCTTACTCAACTATCGTTTGTGACATTTCCATTGACAGAAGAGTTGAATACAGTTTGACTGAACGATCTTAGCAGGCAGTGTACAGAATCCCCTTCCTTGTACCTCTCTGACACTGAAAAAACTAATGACCCTAATTGCCAATTAAAAGGCCCACATCCTCTGAGGGCTGCATTTTTCACCACTGCTGAAAAATGGAAATGTCTGCCTCTGAGTTTTTAACTAATCAGGGCTCACTCGCATGCGCCACAATTTAACCTTTGCAAGGCTCTTAGAAATCTTCCTATGCAATGGCTCATATCTGTCTGCATGGTGGTTCGGGGGCTTGCGGTGAGCCAGGTTGCAGCTGGGTCCTGCAATCGCTGTAAATGCTTTGAGAGTGGGGGCCATCTAGCAATGCAGCCGTGAGACCCAAAGGTGCCTGTGCTGCGCCCAGCATCGTGGGTAAGGGTAGGGAGACCACTTGCAGCTGGGATGCAAGCTCAAACCACCTCCTGGCCAGTTTGCTCCCTTGCCAAAGGTCCTGCTTGGAAGTCCTTTAAAAGGCCCCGTGCAAAGCTGAGCTAAAAAGATTAGGCAGGAATGTGTGAATATAGGCAGCTACGGACCCGGCCGCAGCTCGGAGCAAGGCAGGGAGGCAGCGACAGATGTTTTTTCAGAGGCGGGAGAAACACTTGCACATTCATGTTTATCAACAATCAGCTTAGGGAAATCTCATTTCATTTTTCTCATTAATAAGCTTTTCTTTGTTTTTCCTGACACAGAATGACCCAGAAACAGCTACAACGATTAGAGCAGCTCCTACGACTCGTGCCTGAGCTGTCTTCAGAAAGCAGGTGCAAGGTGGGGCGGTGGGGGGAGACAAAGGGGATTTCCTAGGAAGGAATTCAAATATTGGTCCCTGCAAACGCTGTCGGTTTGGTATCTGCATTAGCACTGAGTGCTGGTTTCTTAAGGGCCTGTGCTGCTGCTTCAGGAGGGTCTATATTGGGGCACAGCTGCTTCTGGTTGAGAGAGGGCCTGCGTTTCTCCCACCCCTGACCATGGAAAGACCTCTGCGGACATTGCTGAGATTTGGATCCCCTACAGGGAATATGGGTAGGCAGGTAGCTAGGAATACAGGTGTGCTAAGGAATCTTCCTAGCCTGCGACCATCACCGTGGTCTTTGAGTAGAAAGCTGAACTTAGCATTTGCCACATCCGCGGGGAGCTGCACACCCAATTCCCTAAGAAGAACCTGCAAGGAAAGGCATTTTTTTTGCCAAGATCTTGTCGGTCTAATAAAAGATATAATCTCTACTACAAGTCCTATTTGCTTCTGGAGTAACTTGTAACTTCAAAAAACGCTTGTCACTTCAAAGCGGAGCGACCTCATCTAAAAGAACAGATTATCTTTTACGTGCACTTAAAAGCAACAGCCTCTGCTAGATCTGATGGCAGTGGCTGCAGGAGGTAGCATGTTGAATTCATTAGCATGGGTTGAAGTCCATCTCGGAGCTCTGAGAAGATGAGAATAGATCCTGTAGCTGCTTACAGTTAATGGGTCTGATCCAGAAAAATGGAGAGCACCTTCAACTCTGGTTTCTTTTCCCTGGACAGTGCCAATGTGGAGGACTGATGTTAATATTTTGGACACCTGTTTGCACTGCACATTGGTGATAACTGCTGCACGGTCCTTGCAACCGATGCATTGGAGCAGAAATTGAGGGTAAACTTTGACCTTCGTAGCTCTATACAAAGACGAGGCTTGAAATTTACTGTTCATACGTCTAGCAAAATGTGCTCTCCAGGCTCCTCTTTCCACTTTCCTCATCTTAATTTGGATTAGTAAAGATGTTAATAATCTTCTTAGTCTTGTACTCTATTAAAGGCGGGAGGGAGAGCGCACCAGTCCAGGACAGGGACCACGCAGAGACCAAGGCCCTCTCACCCACCCCTGGGAACTAAGGGGGAGACGGTCTATGCCCAGCCAATATGGGGGTGCATTAATCAATGCTTTGTCCAGCCTGTGTTTAAATGTCCCAAGCGAGATCCTTCCCTGAGAGCTGAGTCTGCAGATGAGTGGGTAACCTGCGCTCTCACAGTGGCCATGAGTGTGGTCCAGCCCTACAGTGGGACAGTTCATAGAAGTTTTTATTTTTAATCAAGAACTGCTGCCGAGCTAGTGGGATCTCCTTGTGCTTCTGCCTCCTGCGTTGCTGGATTAGGTGCCCGAGCTTGGTGGCAGCTGGACATAGTTCTTGGTGTCTGAGAGTGATTGGATGAGAAGGACCTTTCTCTAGCCCCTGTCTGCATTAAAACTGTGAAGACGGACTGGAAACACAATTGCATCCAGCTTGTTGCTGTTTTCAGTGTAGTTTTTTCAAAGCTAACGTTTCTTGTGCCATTCCCTTTATCTCTGTGAGAGTGGGGTATGTGTCTATGGGCACACGCAGAACAGGCACAGTGGGAGCTGCAGACTTAGCCGCTCTCTTGCTACTTCAGGAGTAAAGGGAATGAAAACAATTACTATAAATGAATCTATAGCATCCAATTGGTTAAATCGCTGCTTAATCCTCTGCAGAAAGGAGATCAGGAGAGATTTAACTAGGTACTCATAAAGATAATCAATTTATTCTACTTCTGCAAGGCCATATGTTAAAACAACATGTCTTTCGGGAGAGGGGATTCGGGAGGCATGATCTGTTATACCACTTCGCAAAATCACTGCTGGGATAACTAACCCCTTCACATCGAGGTAAATGTACAGAATGCAACTAGACGCTATTTAAACAACGTCCAGTTGGGCTTGGCATTGTAGCAAAAAAGCCCAGTCTTGTGCCCAGACTGGCTTTACTTTTTCCGCTGAGGAGACTTTCTAGGGCAGTGCTTCCCAGCCCTTTTAGACTTGAGGCTTTAGACTTTGGAAAATGTCAGTTTTTAGTTATTGGCTGTTGTTTTTGTTTTTGTTTTTGTTTTACTACAGAAAAATAGCAGAGCACTTCTTGTGTTGCAAAGGACTTGGAAAGACCACATGGGGTCAGGTATTTTAACACATGGATTCCTATTTTGAATTCTCTGGTTTTATTCTGACAGTCACGTTTGCACTGATACTTGGCATGAGGTTGGTTTGGTTTTTAACTTTGAGTCTAGCTCGGCTTAGACAAATGCAAGGGACTTCCACCTTCAGACAGCATCCCACAGCAGGGCCCGTATGATCCACACCGACCCCTCCAGCACTGACAAGGGTGAAATTCGGGCCTGAGATTTCCGTAACCCAGGAAAGGGCATATAGACACCAGGCTGTATCCTGCAAAGGTCTCTAAGTGGGAATTTTTAAGCAGCGCATTTCCTTCTGCTTGCACCTTTTCACTGGCATTATCCGAACACGACCAGCAGATCAGGCAAGCGAAGGGGACTGCAGTGGCGCTCGGGGAGAGTATGGGGCTAATTTTGTGGCATGCCTGCCAACAGAGCTGGCCCTTGCTGCTTTAAACCCTGTGGGTAGGATGCAAGCCAAGAAACCAACCTCTAAAGGGTTTGCTAGGTCAGCAGCCCCATCCAGTGGGCGACTGCCGAATTGTTGGGGAGAGTCCGTGAGACCTGCACCACCTGCCGGCAGGCAGCGAGCGCAGATCAAGGAGATAAAGGTGCTCTGCATCCTTCAGGATCAGCTTTCCTGGTAGCCTAAAGCACTAGTATAATTGATCTCTAGCTCAATTTTGAGTCGCTTCCCCTGGCAGAGGTAGTATCGTTTTATGACCCATGCTTGCTGACAGCTCCGTGTTTCCCTGCGGTGGTAAGGACACATCCTGCTCACTAGAGAGGGCTCGGCAGAGCTGCACGGCGCTAGCTGCAAAAGTAGGCGCAGAGGCAGGGCTGGGCTCAGTCGGGGACAACGCGCTCTCCGCTCCGAAAGCGTTTTAGCAGAGAAGTCAATCCAGACTTAAGCTTACCTTGTCACCAGGCCCCTGTGAGATGGAGAAGTCATCAGCTCCCCTCGTGACAAGTCTGTGTCTGTATAGCCCTCAGCCTCGGCAAGACCTTTGAGGAAAAGATAATAAAGTAATACTTATCTCCTCTGTAGGAACAGAATGGGCTGAATTTTGGCATCACTTTTCCATTGGCTAGTTTATGCAAAAGCATCTAACCCGTATCCAGATCCAAGCACTGCAGAAGGGTGGGCTGGCAGTAATTATTCCTGCCTTACCAATAGCGAACTGAAGGACATGGCTGGGAAGTGCCTGTCTAAGTCCTGTGGCAGAGCCAGAAAGAGAAATGCAGTCTCTAGTTTTACCAGCAGAAAGAGAACTAGACCTGTTTGACCACGGTCCCAGTTTCCCTGGAGCCAACCTTGACTCCAGTCTCGCCCCGCTTGCTCCTTTTCCCAGCGGAGAATCAGATGGGGAACAGCACTGCATCCCCACATCTGGAGGTGCAGCTTGGATGAATCAGTCTGCCTTCCCCGTCTGCTAAAATCTGGTGCCCGCCCTTGCAGGAGAGGACCTGATGCTTCTCTTCTAGTGAGTCCTGTGACCCTCCAGTAAGCTAATGGGTGCTGAGCTCCTGCGACACTGAGGGTCCCAGCTGCTTGTCCCCATGCCCTACCTTTCCATGCACAGCTCAGGATCTTGCAGTCATCAAAGCGTTCCTGCCTCGCAGGGGCCCATGGCACCTCCTTTCCAACAGCAAGAGTGTCTGACAAAGGAGCTGGTATCCCCCTCTCCCATCCCTGGGCTTCTGCTCCTGCAGCACTATGTGCATGTCTAGTCCAATCCAATCCATCCTGCTCCTGGTCTGGTGAAAGCCATGAGCCATTAGAAAGTGGGTCATCCAGCCCCAGCAGCGGGTTCACTCTCCTGTCCAGACCCTTTTCCTGCATCTTGTGCCACGAGCGTGGCGGAGACCTGCCAAGAGGTCCCAGAGCTGTGCATGCCAGTCCTCCATCATCAGAGTCTGGAGGATGGCTCATTGCCTTCAGCCTCTCTGCTGCAATCTCAATCCTGGCCCCCAGTGCCCTGGCCAGTGCATGAATGGCCTTCACTCTCTCCTGCTTGCCTCTGTAAAGAGAGAGAGCAGAAGTGTCCTCGGAGGCTGAGGCCTTGAGGTGACACCTTGCAGCTTGCAGCGGATGGAAAACGCTCCAGGGAGGTGAGCACTGGTGCAGGGAAGGGCTGAGCTCCAGGTCTTGGAGTTTCAAAGGGCTGAGGAAGCCCCTTTCAGGTGCCAGCGAAGGAGAAAAGTCTAGCGGGTCCGCCGTAGCCAGTGACGTCTCCAGGCGCAAGTTGCTGTTTAAATGCAAAGGGGATCGGCATCAATGCATACGTAAGTGAGGCTGATCATAAAACCTATTCGATGGCTGATCGTAACCTCTTCTAGGCAAAGGGTAAGTTGGGGGAGAGAAGACGTCCACAGGCACCTGGCTTTCTGCCCTTGTGCCTGGGTTTTAGACGTGTTGCAATGTGTAGGAAGGCATTTCGGAGGCTAATCCGTTGCACGTTGGAGAATTAAAGGCTTTAGCAGTGTGAAGTATAAAAACGGGCTGCGATGCTGGCCCGCGAGAAGCTTTTTTGCCATGCTATAAGCCAATTGCGCATTATTGGCACCAGACAGTGCTCTGGATAAGGCAAACCCAGCTGCAATCCAGCTCTTTCTGCACCACTGCAGCTTGCAAGCCAAGGACGTTGTATAATGCTTGGAGAGACTGAACCTGCCAGTAAGAAGTCCACATATTCAGCCCCTTTGTTGGGCAATCGTGCCACATTTCATGCATTTTCATGCGTTAGACTTTGCCCCCTTCCCACAAATGTAGTTCGCCTTTCCCACAGGTTGGCAAGGGCAGGTGCCCAGATGGGGCAAAGCACATGCAGGGGCAGTGACGTGCTTCCACGGGCATATTTGTTTAATTTCAAATCCTGAAACCCAGACCTCCTGGCTCCCAGGGCCCCCTCCGAGTGCCACTGTCGTATTAGCACCCAGGGAGGCAGATTCTAGAGTGGCAACTGGTTTAGCCTTATTGATCCTGTTACTTAGCACAGTTTTGAACCAGCCCTCTAACCCATCTCTTGTATGCTCGGGAGAAAGACTTTACAGGGTGTATTTGCTAAACGGTGCCTATTGTACCTGCTTCCTTGCTCTTCGCTTCCCAATAAAGCACGTGATGTTGTATCTGCCCACTCCACAAAAGTCCTTTCCAGGCTTCTAGCGTTGCTCCGTTCCTGAAATGAGAGAGCAGCAATCACCAGACGTGCTAAGTAACTCGAACGCTTGGGTAAGGTTTTGGACTTTGTCCCACTGAATGATTGGTCCATGTAATCGGCCAAGTGTCTGGTACAGACGGCAAATAACGAAGCTATTCTTCCAGCTCCAGCTTGTGCTTTCAGCCCTAGGGGTCAATGTTTTGACCCCTTAATGACCCAAGCAGGGGCTGTCATAACGAGAACTCGATGGCTGTGTTGTCCGGATAACTCTATCTCGGTGCGACTAAGGTGTTTTCGGGATACACACCAGGACAGCTGGTGACGAACGGTTGAACTGGTTTCCCTCCCATCACCTTTTTCATTCCCATGCCCCTTCGTGTACTCACGTGGCTGGACAGAGACCGAGGACGCGGCGCAGGCAGAGCGGTTCCTCTGTGTCTGACGTGGCTCTCCTCGACGCCTGGTTTCCTTGCAAACGCCTCTCGTTGTTTCCTGTATACTTCTTGCAGCCTCTTCGTTCTCGCCTCCCTGGCCTGCTTTACAGACTCCCTCTCTTCTAGGCTCCTCTTCTTCCTCTCTGCAGTTTTTCTGTGCATAAATTCGTGAACTTCTTCTGGGCTGTAAGGGTGGGATCTTGCTCCATTTACCTTCTTCTTTAGAGGCTGGGGAAGGTTTTCCTTCTCGGATCCTCTCTGTGCCGGCCCGTTGGAGCCCGTGGTTCTCCGTGGAGATGTGCCTTTCCCTCTGCTGTAGCTTGAGTTCAGGAAAGACCTAGACTTCTCCTCCCGAAAGCTGGGAGTAGCTGTGCCGCTGCCTGGGGATGCGAGAGGACCGACTCCAAGGTATTGTCTCGGGTCTCCTGCCTTGCCTTCTTGAGCATCTCTCTGTGGACTTGCACTTGGGTTCTTGCTAGCAACTTGGCTTTGTGTGTGCAGATCCCGTCGTCTTTGTCTGGCCTCTCCAGCTAGAGCGCTGCCGTCTGTCTCAAAAGACCCGTTCTGCGTAACCCAGCAGTTCTTCTCTTCGGGGCTGTTCCCCACCCGATCTCCCCCGCCCTGTCCTTGCTGCAGGGTGGCAATGGATTCTTTACCAGGTTCTGCAAAGAAAGCATTTTTTTTTTTTTTTTT